ATGCGCCTCACCGGCGAGGTCCGCCGCGCCGAGAACGTCGCCACCCCTCAGCTCAAGAACTCGCAGTACCGCAAGATTGAGCGCCAGACCCGCCACTTCAACGGCCTGCATGTCCCCCGCGCCCTCGCCGCCAGCCTTCCCTTCCGCTCCCAGATCGTCGCCATGAAGCCTCAGAAGAACAAGACGTACATGCAGAAGCGCGCCGTCGTCCTCGGCGCAGAGGAGAAGACGACGCGCGCCTTTATGCAAAAGGTCCTCACCGTCCACAACGACCAGGTCGCCAAGCGCCGCGCCAAAAAGGACGAAAACCGTGCCGCCTTCAAGAAGAAGTTGGCCGAGGGCGACGAGAAGAGGGAAGCCAGGGAGAAGAGGGAGAGCAAGGAGTACTGGCGCAAGAATGGTCGCAAGAGGAGTGCTGGAGACGACGAAGGTGGCGGCGGTGGTGGCAAGAGGAGAAAATGAGGGAGCTGATGGAAATAATGGCGCGAGTTGCGTGTTTAGCAATCAAAGTTTCAGCATCAGGGATAGATCTGTACCGACTACTGTACTCACTTACGTATCAAATTATACTTATTACCACTGCGTATATAACACCGTATATAACATCAAGCACGTCTCTCACCATCTTCATACACGATGTGATTATCTCACGGCCGTCTCTCAATGGTTACATACGAGCATTATGGCTATAATCATAACAAATCATTCAATTTAGACACTCTCAAACAGAGCAGATAGGGTGGAGGGACATAATATGCAAACCCAACCTGCAAGAAACATTTGCATGCTACTTAAACTAGAGAGGATTCCACAAGCTGCTCTCTGCCTAGAGCCACCAAGATCCATATGGGAAAAAAAAGAGGAGGAGAATCTCAACACAGGGCAAGGGAAAGAATAAAGGGAAAATAAGCAACCATCCCAAAAATGATAAGAAAAAAAAGGAGTTTGCAAAACAAACCTACCGGCCTTGTAGCAAACGCCGTTATCCCCCACACTCCTCCCCGGTGAATGTGCCTCTATCAGCGTAAAGGGTCACTTTTCGTCAACAAATGTTTTCCCTATTACGCCAGTAGGGCGGATATCATGATGCTCTGATCGGTGGTACACCGTCGGTCCCTAAAATTCATGTGTCCTTCCTGTTCTGATTTCAATCTTGAAAATATCCATCACCCCAGGGGGAGTTGCGATCTGCCGTATAAAGAATGTGAAAAGCACTATTGGATAGCCCAGCGTTGCGTTTATCGCTTCTTTAACCGTGAACAAACGTGCGCGTCGACAAATCCATCTAGGCATGGATGGGTTCCTGAGGAACAGCTGGTTCGGTGGCCTGGGGCTCCTCGGTAGGAGGGGAAGGGAATTCAGGAGACTTCTTGGCGGCTCCGGGAGCAAGGTTGTGGCCGCGCAGGATCTCCTGGACCTTTTCGGTGTAGTCTCCAGCATACTGCTTGCCAACGGAGGCGAGATGGTCGGCCTGCTTCTGAGCAGCATCTCGAACCTGGGCGGTCTGGGAGTTGATGGCATCGGCAGCAGTCTTGAGCTGCTCGTCAATAAACTCCTGGTTCTTGGAGTAGATGAGGGGGGCGAAGAAGGCAATGGAGGTCCCGATGATGGCAAGAACCCAATAGGGCAGCACCTTGATCAGGAGGCCTGAGATGAAGGCAGCGACGCAAGCCTAGGGTGCGAAATATTTAGCTCCTGTTCAATCAAACCACAGATTCGCGTGCGACTTACACCAGCCGAAACGCCGACATTCTCAACAAAGATGATGCGCTGGCTTTCAATCAAGAAGAAGTTGATGAGTCCGTGAGCGTCGCTAACCAGCCTCTCAAAGGTATCGCGGGAAAGTGTGTAGTACTGGCGGGGGCGGAACTGAGAGGCCAGGCCATTACTAAGGACCAGTTTGCCAGCAACCTCGGCAGCAACAGTGGTAGCCAAAATCATCCAGGACAATGAAAGAGTCCAGCTAAAGAGGTTGAGGTACCGAACGGCGATGATGGTAGCAACGACGGAAACATAGGCGATGGCCGAGTTGCCTGCAGGGAACAGTCAAAAGTTAGCATGAAAAGCCGTGCCATGCCTGCCATGATTCGCTGCATCAAGAGGGTGATGGTGATCCCACACACACGAAAAACAGAGAGGCGGGTGCATCGCAGCTAGAAAGTGGGCATGTGTTTGCAGCAGACAATGGACATTTACTCACGAGGGTTCTTCCAGGACAAAAGCTGGGAGAAGAGCGAATGGTAGGGCGTCAAGGGCTGTCCAGTGCTGCCGTTGGCGGCTTCTAGAGCTCATCGTCAGCTATACAGGAGGGGCAAGTGGCGGCTTGAGGCCTTGTCCTGTCACATGCAAAACTGCCCAACCCAAGTGTCAGCATCCGTCATCCATGATATTACTGGGCAGACCCCGTTTCCCTGTATGTAGGTACGGGATCGATCGCGCGGTAGACAAGTGGGAAGGGGAGCAGAAGCGTAGCAGTGCGTCCACATACCTTACTGGAGTGGCCATTTACCGCGTCAGCTGTGTCGGCCATGATGATTGCTTTGTTTTGCTTTGTCGTCGGGAATTTGGTTGGAGAGACTTTTTTTTTGTTTTTTTTTGGAGGGGTTTGTCGGTCGCACTACCGTGGCGAGCTTCTGTAATGCGGGCGGCGGCGAAGAGAGGTCGGAAGCTCTGGATTTCTAGGGCTAGATAGCTGTCGTCTCAGTATCAGACCAGAGATGGGAAGAGGACAAAGGGGAACCTGGAAGAGAGAAAAAAACAACTGCGCAGAGCCAGAGACGGCAAAAGTAACGGAGCGTCTCCTTTTGGCGCCACGGCAAGCAGGAGGTGGTGATTCTGACAACGTACCTTTTTTTGCGATGTGCTGATGGAGGAGAGAAGAGTCGCAGCTCGGAGGAGGGGAGAAAAGCGCAGAAAGTATAGCGGCAGGGGGGATGCTTTTTTTTTTTTTTTGCTTGCCCTGTTGTGTGCAAGAGGGAAGTTTATGGAAGGACCTGGGCCTGGCCTTTCAGGTGATGGTCTGGTGGAAGCTGCGGGCAAGCTTGCTCTTGCTAGCGGCAGGTGTCGACGTGGTTGTGACGCTGCGATTTTGTGCGCCCCTCCCCTTGCTGCCTGCCAGTTTTGTCTGCCACTGGTTTTGCTATTTTATCGTTTTTATCTTTTTTTTTATATAAATTATCTGCTTTTTTGTTCTAGGAGACGAATCTGGGGCTCTTTCCTCTTTCGTATCCTGTGGCTTCTGTCAAATTATAACTTTTTTGGATCTTTTCTTTCTCCCTTTTTTTTTTCTTCTCCTCCTCCTCCTCGCCACGGAGTACTTGCTTGTACGTTACGGAGTACCTCCACCAGAAACAGCACCTTCCCGCTCTGAGAAATGAGGAAACCAACTAGGGGAAAACACAAAATCACATCAAAATCAAAATTAACATGTGCTGGTGGGGAACTGGTCTCCTGCTCTGCCGCAGAGTGGTACCTGTTCTGTATGCACAAAGTACCTTAGCTCCGCTGGTGGAGTCTCTTTGTGGAGGGCCAGCGCTGAACAGGTACCAGCTCGGGCTCGTAAAGCTACAAGCTCGCGGGCATGATGCAACACGATGACGCTAAGAGCAAAGAGCTGCGACAAGGTGCTACAAGGCAAGCATCGTCACCTGCCCACCAATGACGCAGCGCCGTGGGAGCTCCATGAATCGCTACATGACATGCGAGTACAATCTTGCTGCTCTGCTCTGCTCTGCCCACATCCGCTCGCCCACGTTGCCTCTTTAATTATTCAAGTGCAGGCCCCTCCTAGATACTCCCTTGCCTCTGCTGTACGAGTACTTGATACTTGATACTTGTATGCACCAGACCCGACCCGAGCATCGGCATCAGCATCTTGCATATCCGACGCCTGCTGATGCGCTCGCTCAAACAAAGACCAGGATGCCAGCCGTCGCAGATAAGCCAGAAAATGAGACCTCTGCAGCCAACCAGGCGCAAAGCCGCCCCCAAGGAAGGAGCAAGCGGCATCATGTACTTGTCCGGAGTACTGCGCTGTAACTGTAACTGTACGAGTACGTACTGTAGCATGTAGCAGCTACTAAAGTACCTACCTCTAACCTTGCTGCACGCACGCATGAGACTCCATACTCGTAGCACTTGTTAAAACCAGCATGCCTGTCCGACCAGCCAATAGCGCTCCGTTGGAGAGATTGAAATAGTGCCCAGGCTGGTTTAGATGCTCCGTAAATGCGAAACCCGTTTCCCCCCATTGGCTCCATGCAATCGGCAAGCATCCAATCGACCGGCTACAAGTACAGCTTCCAAATCTCCCACTACTGTACAAGTACGAGTACACACTACAAAGGTCGGAATGGTGGCATCATGCCGCCTCCGCTCTCCCGTCATGCTCTCCATCGGATTTATCAATGATTAAATCATCCGCAGCACGAGAAACGGTCACTCGCCTCAGTTGGCCTCTGGTTTCCGGTCCAGGCACGGCGAGGGCTTTGAACAAAACAAAAGAGAGCATCAGCTGCCCTTGGCTGGGGCACGTGCTCCATTGCCGCCATTGGTCATTCATTGGTCCGGGTCTGTCGCGATGTGATGCCGAGGCTAATAGGGAGATACCTATGATATGATATGATATGATATGATATGATATGATATGAAGCTCCTGCAGCTGTGATGCAAGGGAGATGGATGTAAAAATCACAAGTTAGTTACCTTAGTAGTATTGATGGTAAAAACCTTGATGTACTTACTGGCTCGGTGAGTACGAGTACATGTGCGCAGGGATCATTGCTTTGACGGTGTGGTCCATCTGCCTTTACTTTTGTCCTTTGTATGATATGAGACAACACATACTCTCAAGCATTGTGAACGGGAGCTGACGAAAGAAGATTCTATCAGATGAGAGCGAGTATATAAAGGCCTTGAATGATATGGCTCACTTGCTCAAGCTGCCGGGAGTAACCGGCAGCAGAGACTTTGGGCAAAACCGACTCCTTGTTCTGAGTTGGCTACAGGAGACAAGCATGGTAAATGGTGCGTATCTCGCTCTCTCCAAGGTTCCCAAGGTAGGCTGTGAGATCTCTTTTCATATCGGACACTAGGGAGAATCATATCAGGCGAGTTGCAGGAGCTAACAAGTGCTGGCTTAGGTAGTTACATACTGGTGATGATATCCAAAGTATTCTTGCCCTCCAACTCAAATGCATCGACTGTAACAAGGTCGATGTCGTCGACAAATCTGTCAACGTTTGCCTTGATCAAATTTTACGCCTCACGAGTCTCCTTTGACCATCTCCAAGTTAGTCGTGGTGACGAAGAATTTGGGTGCTGGGGATGTCATGTACTATCTGGGCTTCGGCACCGTCTGCCGGCTTTATAAAGCTGTCCGGGTATCTCCACTTCGAATAGTCGAGAGTTGCAACCGATATACCGGACCATGAGCCAGTTAGGCTTTTCGTATATGACTCGGACGGAGACCTAGAGGCGAGAACATCAAGAAGCACCGCAAGGTCATGGGAGGTCTTGGTCATTGGTCCAGCCGAATCAAAGTTGGTCGACATGGGCACTATGCCGTGCTGGGGGATGAGGCCAATGGTGGGCTTGATGGTGTACAGGGCAGCTCTTCCCGCTGGGCAGAGGAGCGATCCATCAGTCTCGGTGCCGGCGGAGATGGGGGCGTATCTAGCTGACACGCCAACAGCGGATCCGGACGACGAGCCCAAAGGATTCTTGAGGCAGGTTAGGAACATTGGCTGCATCGGTAATAGGAAGATCAAGGCTCACCGAGTGTCCGTCCTTGGAATTGTCGGGATCCAGGCCGCCACGGACATAGGCAGACTGCGCTTGGCCACCGACGGCAGACCAGCCGCTCGGCATCATGGAACCACTGTTGCAAACCGTTAGATGTCGTCAGGCCAAGGAGACACCCGGGGTTCCTTACCGAGAATTGGAAAGCTCCTGTAACACAATATAGGTTAATTACTATACCAGATCGATGCGGGACGAGGGAATATGGCTACGAGTACATACGCTGAGATTAGCCTTGCCTAGGACAATAGCGCCCGATGCAATGAGCTATATTGATCGCAAGTTAGTCAGGAAGCAGTCTGGCAAGCAACACGAAGTCGCGGAGAGGTTTGAACAGTGTCGTGAATGCCAGGCTTGCTAGCAAACCACAGACTGCGAGCTTGAGCAAAGCGGGGGACCAGAACGCAGTTATGATGCTGCTGGCATGTTGGCATCCTACGCTGCTCCCAAGATATCGACAAGCTGCTGAAACCGGCGGATGTAGAGTACAAGGCTTTCGCCCAATGCTTGAGTCTATACAGCAGTGAGGCAATTGGCGATGCACGGTTGGATTTCAACAAGGCATCAATTGCTTCCAGATCGAGGTTTGCTAACAATCTATCTCTCAGTCTGGTTCACTTCCGTCGACTACTCTCAAAAAGAAAATCCCAAGCGTCTACTCAAGAACATTCTCCCTGAACCATGGCAAATAGGTGTCCCTCGCCCAGGCAGTCAGCCGACGGACACCGGCAACGACACAGTAAATATCCATCAAGCTCTTGGTGGTGCCAAACACCCACTCCGCCCAGAGCGTCGTCTTCCCTTCGTGATACGTGGACATGACGAGGTGCCATCGATTGCCCTGCACAATGATGCCTGGGATGAATCCAAGCTTCGACAACGCCGTAAGCTGTTGTGCCCGGGACTTTTCTCCTCCTTCTCCTCCTTCTTCTCCTTCTTCTCCTTCTTCCCCTTCTCCTCCCCCTTCAGCGCCTTGAGCTGGGCGTTGCTTCCGAAGCTTCTCCCCAACGGCCCATCGAAGAAACGCCCACTGTGAAGCATGCCAGACGCCCATTTGCAGCTGAGCCTTGTCCCATTCCAACCCGGGCCTCCTGGTCCCGATGCTAAGCACAAGGGGGCGAAGCTGGAGAGGTTCAAAGTCGGTATGGTTGACGGTCAACGTCGGCGTAATCCCGCTGAACTCAGCCAAAGCCGCCTCGAATGGTTCATCCTGGTCAAGCGAGGCGTGTACGCAGATGTCAACCATCCTACCTGTGGATGGCATCGGTTCAAACTCTGCATGCGGCCGGGCTGTGGTACTGCAACGAGCAAACAGATGATGAAAAGATTCAGCATGATTTTACATATACACGCTGTTGGGAAGTAAACCTACCAAATCATGGCATTAAAGTCATCGCACTGTTCACCAAAACGGTCTTCGAATATGCCGTCAAGCAAGGGTAGATGAACCCGAGCATTCCACATAAGTTCCTCATACTGACACTTTTCACACTCGACGGCCTTTTCCAAAATGCTTTCGACCTCTTCCAAAGACGGGACCCGGCCAGGTAAACCATCGTCGTGGCCTTGTGGCATGAAGGCAGAGTCCCATCTGCTCAGTGACATTGGCTGATCCTTGAGCTTTTCCTCAACGGTCGACTTCAAAGCATGCGGTACGATATTGCGGCCATGACCAATGTCATCCATGAGAAAGAACAGCGCCTTGGCGTCATTAGGCACCGTCTCCTCATTGAGGACTCGATATTCCACACCCGCCTTGCCTAGACGCAAGCTCATCATCCGTCTTTCTGGCGATGGCGCTCTTGACATGGAGCCCGCCTCAGAACCCGACGGGGAGACTGAATACGAATCGTTCATGCTACGAGAGCCCGGACGAGATGTTGCATTGAACTCGAGCAGCGATGGAAAGTTATTGTATCGGCATCGTTTTCGTGTCATGTTGCTTGCTAGGTATTGTCGTCGCGTCTCCCCGCAAGTTAGCTGGAGGACTGGTGAAGCGATGGAGGAAGGGCGGTGCTCGGCGTTGCTCAGAAAGACTTTTCTCGGACCCAAGCAGGGAATTCCCCCCGTTATCTATACTCTGGACAACCTACTATCAACGTATCACGACAAGACGCGTTGTTCTCATTAAACAGCCGGGGCGGGCGACAAGACGCGATATCTTGCATAATGCGACGCCTCCCTGCAATGCTTTACACATGTACGGAGCTCATTGGCCCAAGTAGATGAGATACCAACCCGGGGTAAAAGCCACGAGCGTCACCCTCCAGGACGAGGCTTTCGGTTTGAAAAGCGGAGTTGGTTGGGCTCATCGAATCACAGAGCCTTGTTTACCGGCAGGCGTCGACCTACCACAGCGCGCCCAGCACATGCATTCAAATATCGTGGACAAATCGAGGCCCAGCCTCCCAATCTTTCCAGCCACAAAGCATGTGCTCCATCGTGCCATTCGTTGGTCGGGTGCTGTTGCGATGTGATACCGAGGCCTCTCCTGCAGCTGTGATGCAAGGGAGATGTAAAGGCCTCGTCTCGCTCACCGCTGGTAATACCAAGGTACTATTAGTAGCAACAAGTCATTTCCCGCAGCCTGTCGTATTCGTAAAATAGAAGCAGGTAGAAGAGACCAGAAGCGAAGATGGAGGGAGAGACAATCAAGGACGAGAGAACAAGCTACGGCGACTTCACATGTGCAAACAATGACCTCCAGTTTCTCGCAATGCGTCTCAAACCCCCCTGTGCTAGGTATTTGCGTCCGCTATGTCTGTTCAAACTACCCTCGTAAGCTTCCGCTCGCATGAATATCCTCTGACCCATCCCATGCCATCAAAAACTCCGTGCTAAGTTGGAAGAAGAAAGAAAAAGAACGAAAGAGAAGAGAAGAGCAAAACACGCCTCGCTCCAAAACGAGCTGACCCTAATGCATAGATGAAAAAAAAAAAAAAGAGAAACAAACAAACAAACAAACCGGGCTTGTCCGTCCCAGAGACAATACCCTCCGTTCTACCGTGGCCGTTCCCTCCCAAGAGTGAAACTCTTCTCGCATGTGCTGCGCCCCCCCCTCCGGAGCAAGATAGAACCCTGATGAACAGCAGCTCAAGGGCTCATTTCCACAAGCCGTGCATTGTAATCAAAGGCCTCCCCAGTAGGCGGCGACAACGACGCACATGTGCATTTCCCCAATCCAACTTGCTCAGTGGCATGCTGCTCTCCCATCTCTTATCTGAACCCATCCTTTCTCTCACTTTCTCTCCCGCTCCGCTTCCCACGTCTCACCTGCGCCACCCCCAGAAGCCACCGGTGCCGGGAGATGTTGTCGTGGCTGCGGCTGGCGCCACTTTGACAGTGACCGATCCTGGGGCCATGGGAGCGTTGGGGGAATCGTTTGGTAACCCGTAAGCCTTTTTCAGCGCCTCCAGTTTCTGTTTGGCTTCCTCGGCCTCCTGCTTCGCAATGGCCTGCGCCGTCTTGGCCTGCACAAGATCCAGGAGCAGCGTGTCGAGGTCGTTTGTCGATGACTTGCTGTCATCATTTGACACCATTGGGGTCGCTGGCATCGACGCCGGCAGCGGCGGGACAAGATCGTTACTCTGCAGCAATGACGACCTTCGTCTAATATTCGTAGCGCCCTGAGCAGCGAACGACTTGCTACGTCCAAGCTTAAACTCCCTCAAGCCGGCGGGCGGCTTCGGAGTCCACTCCGCTCCCGAATCGCGGCCACCAAGGGGGTCCCCGGATATCGGCCTCGATCTCATGGCTTGTATTTGCTTTTCCAACCGCTGCTTGTCCTGGTGGAGAGCCCTGACATGGCTATGACTTTCTCGAACCTGCTCTTTGAGAGACGACATTTCCTGGTCCAAATCATGGATCCGCCGGCTAAAGTCCTGGTTCTGTGACATGGCACTGGCTAGCTGATCTTTGGCTTGATCTAATTCGACTTGCAATTCCGATTTCTGGCCGCCAGATGGGGGCGGCTGAGGCTTATCCTTCTTTGTGGTGTCGTCGTTTTCACTTGCATTTCCAAAGCGGCTCTCCACGCGGTCGAGCAGCTCCGAGAGGTCCTCGGTGGATGGCGCATCCTTTGCCTTGGTCGAGCTGTCATCAGACTTCTTCTCTACCCCCTCTGCCCCCTCCCTTTCTTCGGCATTTTCAGTCGCATCTTCAATGGCCGAGCTGTCAGCCCCCTCCTCGCCTTCGCTTGCTGTTGCTTCATCCTCGCCGCTTGCTCTCTTCCTGAGCCCATCCAAAAGAGACCGCACAGCCTTGCGATCCTCCTCTCTCTCCTCTCGCTCACGCTTAAGCTCACTCGACAACAGCGCATGATTCCGCTGCATCTCGCTCAGTGCCGTGAGGAGATCCTCGATCTGGCTATGCAGATACCTATCTTCTGTGTTCTTGTTGGTGCTAGGCGCGGCCTTGGGGCCTACTGGGGTCGATTCACGGCTTCCGGAATCGTCCTCATTTGTGTTTGAAGAATCTCGCGACACGGTGGTGGCATCCGTCGAGGATGAACTCGTGACGCTCATGGAGCTTGCCTCGACTGAGTTTAGAGTCGAGGCAAGGCTCTGCTTGGAGGTGCTCCGACGCAACATGCTCAGCGGCCGTGACGGCGCACTCAGTCCCGGAACCAATCCTGAGCCTCTGGGAAACGCACCAGACGAGGCCCAGATGCGACCGAGGAACCGGGCTGCTGCTGTTGCGATGTCAGATGTGCGAGCGGTATTGGCGGTCGCGACTAGAGATTCGCGGTATCCCTGCTCGAGCTGGGCCAGCTTCTCTCGGGTGACTGTGCTTGTGAGGCTTCCAAAGTCTTGCACAAACTCGTCGGCGTTGTAATGATAGCAGTCCCATAGGCCCCTGGATAAAAGGAGCTGCATCACGTCTTCTAGCTCGGTGCAGGAAAGCAACCTGGTCTCATTCCTCCGCATCAGTGATAGTGCGACGCGCATTAGTGTCTCAGAAGCGCCCTCGGCGAAAATAACGTCGTATATCCGAAACAGCATCGGCAAGGGGCATGTGGTCGCGAAGAAACTCAAGAACCACTGGGAAACATATGCCGTTTCCACCTGCAGATCTTCCAGGTGGCTCCACAGCATAGGGAGATTGGCCCGCAGGAGTTCTCGGAACTGGTATATTCGCACATGAAGTCCCGAAAGGTCTGGCAGAAAGCAACTCCTCAAATCATAGCGGTCCATGAGACTAAAAACGGAAGAGGCCCCGGTCAGTCAGTACTGCTATCGCTTGTATCACATCGGTCCAAGGGTAGCCGTGCCGCCTTTGATCCTGGATGGAAGAGACAAGAAGGTAGGGAGACGGAGAAAGAAAGAGAGAAAAATGGGCAAGGGAAGCTGCTTACCGAACCAGAACGCAAAATGCCTGCTTGTCGGGCATGTGCATCAACAGAGGCCCGACGAGAAACGCGAGGCCCTGGCAGTAGCCAATCTTGGTGTCATACAGACTAAACGTCTTGAGTACCCGGCCAAGCATGCGCTGTCCATCACCATCAGGGTCGCGAAACATTTCTACGCCAGGGAAACTCCGGCCGAGATCTTTGCCTATGAGACCCTCATAAGGGCTAGATTCGCCATTGAGTCGCTCGTACTGTTCCTCCAAGCTGGCGTCGCGAGCGCCAGACATGCTCTGCCACACAACGCCTCGCAGCGGGGGAGGAATTCCCTTGCGGATCTTGTTGGACAGCAGCGTGGGCAGCCTTGCCGCGGTCTGCTGGTAGTCCTTGACGAGGGCTGCGTAGAATTCAAGATCCGTCATCGGTGGCGGGGGCAACATCGAGTATCGTAACGCGGCGGGCGTAGGGTCGCGAACCATCTTGCGGAGCTTAGCCATCGATGGCGGGCGCGGTCTACTGGGCTGAAGCTTCTCAACAAGCTGGACCTTGACCGTCTTTGGGTTTGTCGCCAGCTTGGCATTTTCCTGCTCTAAACGGGCCAGAAGCAAAGCGGTGGACTGCAATCACGGGTCAGCGGGGATGGGGATTTCGAAGGGAGGTCATGACAAAGTATGCGCACGTACATTATCAGTCTCTTCGTCTTTGGTCTGTTCATCTTCCGTCTTTTCCAGTTCCGCCCAGTTAACCTCCTCTGGATCCGAGCAATCGCTATCGACATCGTCAAACTCGCCAAGCTCGTCCTGCAGGCTACGGTTAGGTTCTGCCGAGGCAGACAAAGTAGCGGTCGAGTTTCGCGAGGCGGCTGTCGCATCGAGACCGCCCTCGTCGGCGGGCTTGCAATCGCCGTTGGTCGGCAACGTGGGTGAGTCGGGCAGCTTGATTTCGAGACAGTTATTGGTGTCCAGCGACAGCGCCGGCGGCTCGGAGAGCCTCACGGTAACCATGGAATCACGGGTCGTCTTTGGTGTCACAGCTTCGGCATCGTCGACGGGCTTCGGGGCTGTTTCGGCAGCCAAGGTGGGAGTGGACGGCTCGTGGCCGTGCTTTTCGCCGGCGTCCATTGCCATCAGGGCCCGCCCGGCTGGTCGTCGAGAAGAAGAAGAAGAAGAAGGACAATTTTTGGTGTTGAGCCTGCTCTTGGTGGATAGGTAGTGAGGGCTTGTGGTGAGGCGGATTGCTTTGCTCCAAAGCCTTGTCCCTATTGTCCCGGGGAGGCTTCAGATACCGCCTTCCTCCTTTCCGCCGTGAAGACGGCAGAGATACGGGTAGCGCAAAGTGGTTCGACTCGATTCCTGGAGCAGTCTGTGCTCAGCACCTCGTACCCAGTACCCAGTCTCTACCTGGTACCTACCTGTACTACCTGGTAGTAGCAAGGGAACAGGTAGATCGGATTAGTAGCAGGTACTCGTACAGCACCACGAGGTGAAAGCGGCCCTGGATACCCCGAGCCTGGGCCCGGTGTGAGAAAGAGCTGCCTTGGTTAGGTACTAGGTACCTAGCAGTTGGTGTTCGGTGAGCGGAGTCCTGGTACGGCACTGGTACGGCAGAGGGTCGTTTCATCGAGGGGTGAAAGGAGTTGCTTCAACGCCGGGGGGGGGTCGCCTTGCCGGGTCCGTAAAACCAAGATTGGAGAGGGAGAGAGGGAAGAAAAAAAAGAAACGATAGAAAATTCCCAAGGCCAAGGGCAGAAAGATTCCCCGGGGACAGACCTAGGCTGTGGGGAAGAAAGCGGCGTGCTGTATGTAGGTGAGCAGATGGTACGTCCGGGCAGCGTGGATGGAGTCGTGCCCAGATTGCTACTAAACTAAAGTACCTAGATACCGTGCTACTGTAGTCCTGAGCCCCCCCGGAAGCGCCGTCGATGAAGTTGGCAGCTCAATTGGCGTGGGCGAGAAATTGCACCGGCTCGACGCAGCGACGGGCTCATCATCGAGTTTCGATTTCTGGTGTGTGCAATGCATATGGGGTAGCGTCAGGTCAACCCATGCGTATCATTGGATGCTAATTGTCCGCTCGAGTACACGGCAACCCCCAAGCACCAGGATAACGGGGTACTCAAGTCTCGCACCGCCATCTGCGTGCAGCTCCAGGTATCTCCCAAACCTCGGGTGGTGCCACGATACGGTACCTAGGCTGTAGCGTCAGGGGTCGTTCGACCCGCCCTGACCACCACTGCGACTTTGTGTGCGAGTGGGCTCGTCAATGCATCACATCGAGCGGTCACTCATTTGGCCTGGCCGTGTGTAACATTTGGCGTCATGCAGCAAACTAGTAGGTAACTGTACTCGTACAGACGTCAGTGTTTCCTTCGGGAAATTTTCCAGCTTCTCTTTTGTATACTTTTTTTTCTTTCCTTTATTTCCTGTTTGTTCCAATGGATGTTCATTTTTTTTCCCTTGAGGTCCTTTTTTGTGGCGTCCGCAAGTGCCCGTCATTTCCATCCACGCAGCACTACCAACCACCAACTCTAGCCGCTATCCGCTATCCGCAATCCCCTGATTTCCCTCTCTGCCCTATGTACAGCACCCCGTACCGCAGAACATACATCATCTCCTGCTTCATCTCATCTGTCAAAAATCTCAACACCCCCACAATTTCAAAGCGCAGAATGAGGCATGCAAGAGGCCGTGGAGATTGGCCTTGCCCTCACTTTGCGATCAGCGCCATTGTCCCTCGTTTGAATGGCCAGCAATCGCCGTGCTGGAACGAGTAGTACTCCTTCATAAAAATAAATAAAAATAACCGCCGACACTCGCCACAAAGGGGATGCACACGCCAAGGAAGATCCACCCCACGCGGGAGAGGACATGGGTGGATCCTTGCCACCTCCTGTGGCGCGAGCTGGTGGGAGAAGAAGCTCCAGCCACCTCTGAAAGCCCCAAATCTTGACGTCTTCCAAGTACTCGTAGTAGAGATTTTAGACGCCAGCCACCAAATTACCAACAGACGCTGTGCAGCAAATCAGAAGATGCTCTACCTTCTTTGCTGGCCGAGGGTGTGTTTGAGGAATACTAGGAGTATTCCTTTTTCCCCTGGTAAATGCAGAATGAAGCGCTGGTTGCTCATTCGCCAGATGCTATGGAGTACCTTCGTTTTCCCGTCGTGAGTTGTACAAGATGCCGTTCCACTTCGAGATGTCCTCATCAGGTTTGGGAAAACTTGGGCAACGCTACGCATACAGTACATGGGTCAGGTGAAGATCCCATTGGAGCAACACTGTGTATGGCCCGATAATTTGGTGCTTTTTCAACATATGTAGACAAGTACCTAGAGACACCAAAGCTTTACAGTTGCTTGCTTGTCAACCAGATGACCTCGGCCTAGCATGATTCAGTCGTCGCCTCCATTAGGTACCTCTACCTAGGCAACGCAACGCCATGAACCAACCGATGCATTGGAGTAATGTTACAACTCACAAATCGACAATGACCAAGAGAAAGAAATCTTGCCACCAGCATGTTGAGTGAGGAGATTTTTTTTTTCCTTTTCTCTCATACTTCATCACACCGCTGTTCTTCTTCAGCGAAGCTACCAACGTTAGTCTCACTTAGCAGCATAGCGCTGCAGCAAACAGGGATCAATTCTCCAACTCAGCATCGTAGAGAACTAAACTGCTTGCAGTACAAGTAAGCCAATGCTGCACCGAGCTAAAAACAAGCGACTTCTGCATCGCTCTGCTTTTGGTAAAACTGACAAGGAAATGAACTGTTTTGTTCCCCAGTGCGGCTCTCTCATAGGACCGATGCATGTCTCTGGTCTCCATCCGGCATCCATCCGGCAACTGACGTAGAGAGATCTATCGGCCAGGCATTGTGTCTACCTCTTGTATGTACGGAGTACTCGTACAGTATACGGCAAGGCATGGGCTTTAATTCATGGCAAGCGAGTATGGCGTATGGAGTATGCGAGTACCTAGTACTCTGTGGGATCAGCTAAAGAGGCTTGCATACTGTAGGTACCTAGGTAGTTGGAACAGCATCGCACATGTCTATTGATGTCCTCTCTACCTCATGCTGTGGAATGATACAAGCGTTTAATACATGTACCCTGCCCCCATCATCATCTTGATTGGCCTTTTTGCACATGGCTTCTTTGACTGGCATCCCCCCTTGCCTCCCCTTCTAAATGGGCATCTTGAAAAGTGTCCAATGCGTATCGACAATACGCTCAAGACGCATGTCATTACTGTCTGCCATCAAAAAACCGTCCGCATATGATCTCGCGCCAACCAGGACCATATTTACTCTCGCATATAATGGCAATCTCACTTGCCACTTCCTCGCTCACGTCTCTCCACTCTGTCTCTGTGGTCCCACGTCTGTGTTCTGCCAGAGTTGTAATATCAAACGCGTGTCCTGCCCACACTCCCCTGTGGATAGGTAAGGCACAGTCTATGCAGGAGCAGGGGTTTGTTGTCCAGCAGATGCGCGAGATGATAACTTGACCAAATCCAAAGCCATCGATGAAAGGACCGTGGATGAATTCTGGTTTCAGAGCAATGGCTTCTGAGCGGACAAACTCCTTCGCTGTCAAGTTTCGAAGAACCCATGGCTGGTCTGGTGGAAAGTAGGTTGCCTCTTCGGCCATGATCTCCCGAAATGTCGACTTCAATGCAGGATCGAACCTGAACTTGTTCCGATCTCTGCATCCTACATATATATCCCCCGACAATTCTGACAGAGTGAACAATTGTGCCTTGTAGCCAAAGAGGGGAGTAGTGAAGTGATGCAGCGTCATAGGGCAGTTCGGCTCAATCAGCGCATCTTGGAATTCCTAGTTGTAAGGTATGTCGACCACTTCTGGTAGTTCGGCCAACTCTTCTGCAGAGAACAATCCTGGAGGATAGTCTTTCGGTTCAACGTCATCTCCTACGAAGAGCATCTTCTGGCCAGCCCAATTCCCAAAATATGAAGCGTAATGCTCGTGGAGGTCAACCCTTCCAACGGCCCAGAGACGTCGGCTCGCCAGAGCGAGGCTAACAACGTCCTTCATGGGAAAGATATGATCAAAAATCAGTCGAAGCAATTCCGTGGGGAGGTTGGAAAACGTGGCTGGATTGGTATTGGCGTCGCTGGGCTTTGTTTTTGCCCGCTGCTGGTGCCCAGAGGAGTCGGGACGCTCTTCGCTGTTGGCTTTGCGCTTTAGATGGCTCTTTTCCTGCGTCTCCTGGAGCGAGCCTCCAGCGGTTGCTTCGGCAGCCTGGCATTCGTTCTGGGGCTGCGACGCTGAGCCTAGAGATATAGCCATGTCAAGTCTCGGCGAGACGCTTTGCCGTTGAATGGGTATAGCAACGAGCTGCTCGATTTCTTCCCCCATCCAGTTGAAAAGCATCTCTCCAGGCGTGCCTCTCAACTTGGCGTACCTCTCGAATTGTGGAGCTATGAGTTGAAATTGTTCATGCTGCTGATCATCCGCCATGTTGACGATATCGGATATTGGGGTTTGCCTTGATACCAGATGAATTTGATAAAAATGAGACAGGCTGAGAACACGTATCTGCAGCTGGACTTTAATACCTATATGGAAGAGAGTGAGGGCGGGAGGAAGAGCAAAAAAAACACAGAGGGTTCAAGTGATTGGAAGCAGCTTGCACTTACCTTACCTACATGAGGTACCTACAGTGAATCACATTCAGGCATTTGGCCTCCATGACACTTGCTCTCCTACATGTACTCCACGAAGCCGGCACTTGACTCTGGGACAGCGAATGCGAGACAGGTAAGGACCACGGAGTGACAGCATTCCAGACACTGCCCAGGTGCTATATTTAGTAGGTAGGTAGCGTCAAAAAAGATCCATTCGAACCAGCCTTGGCCGCCGTCAGGCTACTCGTACAACAGAAAGCCTCTAAAGACTTGGTACAAAAAGGACTCAGATGCGTCGTTACCATGGCGCAAACTTTTGGGGGTCCCAAACCCTTCTCTATCTCGATCGAGGGGCCTCGTGCCTGATGAGATCAGATCTCCTCCGTGGAGCTGAAGTTCTCTGAGATGGATTATATCTCCCCCAAGGCTAATGACAATCTTTCGATGATCGACTACCTTAGTAGTTGCGTGATAGCCTAAGAATGCCTTCGGGCGCCGGTGGGGTATTGAGTAAGGGTTCGCACTGTGAAAAGCGTCTGGTATGGGGCTCTGGTAATGGTTTTTGTACTTCCGTAATAGGTAGTTTTCTACCCTAACTTCATTGCTCATAACGATTACCAGCCTAAAAAGGCTTACCAGACCACTGACTAAAAACCACCCCCGGGCTCCTAGGTGGTCAAAGCCGTTAGTCAAAAGCGGCAAAGCCCAACGGTTGTTGGACGGAAGCTTTGTGGCGTTTATAGCACAGACCGTCGATCTCACGTCCCACTATGAAAATTCCACGGCTCGAGATGTCGTCTCATGGCAGCTACGGCTCGACTCTTCTCTCTACATTTGCCCCTATGGTTTGATCCAATATGGAGGGCTGGCTAAAAGAATCCGGAGCGGTTGGTTTGGAGAGCCTGGAGCTGGCCGATTTCCCAGTCACCGGACGTGGTGCGAGAGCACTGCGGCGTTTCAAGCAAGGAGAAAGGATTCTCACCATTCCTAGTGACTGCCTCTGGACAGTCGAGCATGCATATGCAGATTCTCTTCTGGGGCCAGTCCTCCACTCTACACAGCCGCCCTTGTCTGTCGAAGATACCTTAGCTATCTATCTCCTTTTCGTACGATCGCGCGAGTCTGGATACGATGGCCTACAAAGTCATATAGCGGCGTTACCCGTGAGCTACTCCTCGAGCATCTTCTTTGAGCATGATGAGTTGGAGATTTGCGCAGGGACTTCACTGTATACCATTACGAAGCAGCTAGAACAGAGGATTGAAGACGATTACAGGGGACTAGTCATGCGAGTGCTTGGACTGCATCTAGATCTTTTCCCACTCGACAAATTTACTATCACAGATGTGAGTAGCATTATATGCGCTTGATGGATATTGCGAACCATTAATCAACGTCTCCTGTTCTTCTCTTTAGTACAAATGGGCCCTCTGCAGCTTCTGGAGTCGTGCGATGGATTTCGTACTGCCGGATGGAAAATCGCTTCGAGTTTTGGCGCCCTTTGCAGATATGTTAAACCACTCACCGGAGGTTAAGCAGTGCCATGCCTACGATCCCTTGTCTGGAAGCCTCTCTGTCCTTGCGGGGAAGGACTATGAAGTTGGAGACCAAGTATATTCACCTTACACCTTGATTGTACTGCGTGTATGCTTACCTGAGACTATTTCTTTAGGTTTCCATCTTTTACGGATCTATTCCAAATAATCGTCTTTTACGTCTCTATGGGTTTGTCATGCCCGATAACCCCAACGACAGCTATGACCTCGTTCTTTCAACACATCCTATGGCCCCATTTTATAAGCAAAAGCAGAAGTTGTGGGCATTAGCCGGGCTCGATTCGACCTCTACCATCTCCCTTAGCCTCACTGATCCTCTGCCGAAGAATGTCCTTCAATACCTTCGTATTCAGCGGTTGGATGAATCAGACCTTGCTGCCATAGCGCTTCAGAAACTCAATACAAGCGAGAAAATCAGCGATTCAAAGGAGAGAGAAATCTTGCGATTTGTAGTAGAGTCGATTGGAAGTCTCTTGGATAGCTTCGGGACTCGGTTAGAAAGGCTGCAGGGAAACCTCGCAGAGGGCGTCTATCCTCCGGGGGGGAACGCATGGGCAGCGGCGCACGTCAGTCTTGGCGAACAGCGGGTGCTAAGATTGGCGAGAAAGAGAGCCGAGGAATTGCTAACGGCGATGGAGAGCGGGAATGGGAATGGAAGCAGTTTATCATCAGCGCCGGCTCGATGCGCAAGTTGTGGGAAGGCTTCTGTGCCGTTGATGCTGTGCGGGAGGTGTAAGGGGGTCATGTATTGCGGACGGACTTGTCAGGTCGCCCATTACAAACAGCACAAGGCGACATGTCGGGCAAAAACCACTACGAGCTGATCTACAATGAAATGAATACAGATGCGATCCCCGCGTTCTACATGACTGCGCAAGACGACTTCGCTTGATACCTACCTAATTTCAAGTTGTCGTCTTGCTGCGGCCGCGGTGAGGTGTGGTGGGTTTAAACCTCATCAGACGGCAAGGCGTGTGGATGCCGAGAGAGCGCCGTCGCTGATGGACGAGACGCCAGCTGGCGGTGATGCGACCTGACACCTGGCCAGCCAAAACCAGCAAACGCCCCCACGCCGCCATTTGTTGTCAGCGGCAAGCGACGACAAGATTCGTCAACATGGAGCACATCAACCCATGCCCGCAACCTCGTATACCTCCGAAGCGCATCGAGTATGAGCATATTCCAGTCGCGCCCTGGTACTGGGTCCTTGAATGTATGTGCAGGTACTAAAATACTACTAGGTACCAGGTACCTAACGAGGGAAGTTGCATCAGGAAGTTGCGGTCACGGAGATACCTGGGGTGCCATAGTGTTTTTCTCAGACACTTAGGTACTTGTCGTGCAAATGCCACATTAGTACTAAGGTTAGTACAGGTACCTAGGTACTAAGGTACTACTAGGTACCTAAAGCATTAAAGAAAAACGGAGCAGATGGGGGGGCTATTACACCCTGAAAGATGCGGTCACAGAGGTACATTGGGCGCTATAGTAATTTCTTAGACACCCCGGGACTTGTCGTGCAGGTACCTTAGTAGCTGTTCAATTGATCAGACAGATGGGTTGGGATATGGGCCGGGTGTCTATAGAGGTATGCAATTTTACCTGGATTTATTAAGCTCGACTCTTTAGCTTCCCTTTGTACAAGTCATGTAGCTCCAATCAACAATTTCTACTTCTTGGGTGCTAGGTTAGTACCTGTTTTCTCGCCTCAGCAACCTTTTGCGCAAATAGTTGCTTACTAAGCACAATATGGGCCTTCCACCATTCCATATCTATCTTCCCCATCGCTTTCATCTTCCCCCATTCTTCATTTCGCATCAACGAGCAACGGGTTGAGAGGAGCGCTTTGCTGTGCTTGTTCAGGGCCACGGCGACACGGGCGGTTTGGCGACCGGCACCGATGCTACAGGCTTCTACTCGTCGTCTACGGCCGGCGAAAGACCCTGGGTGTCGGCTTCAGGCAAACCGGAGATCGTGTGGTTGCGTGGCTGGGCAGACACATCCTTTCGTCTTCCCCATCCCTTTGTATCAATGAGCACCACGCAATACGCAAGAAATAACACGCAACACGCAACACGCAACAAGCGGGGTTGTCGCGGCTGTTAATATTGTGTTGTTATACTTGCTCACGGCGGCCACGACTATCAGCAAGCAATAAGCAACGGAGTTGACGCAGTTGTCGGGAGTGTTTTGCTGTACTTACGCAGGGCCACGGCGACACGGGCGGTTTGGCGACCGGCACCGGTGCTACAGGCTTCTACTCGTCGTCTACGGCCGGCGAAAGACCCTGGGTGTCGGCTTCAGGCAAACCGGAGATCGTGTGGTTGCGTGGCTGGGTAGGCGCGTGAAGATACTCTGCGGCTGTGACCTCCTAATTGTTTATTCTTTTTGATTTTCCACGGTTTAAGAGTCAAGGCTGCTCATGCTGTTACATTCAAGCCTGGGTGGGCGGGGATCCCAAGTTATACTTGGGGGCTTTTGCATGATCTTCTTTTTCCTGTCCTGACAATGGGAACTAACAATAGTATTTTAGCTACTGATGTTTCGTCAACAACATGACCGATCCATCTTCCTCCCCAGCCGCCTCCACCATTTTGGGAACTGCAACAAATCCGAATACTCCGCCTCCAGATGATGCGCAATCGGGAAGTATAGTTCCTGGTCAAGCGATGGATGATGCCGCGTCTTCATCAGCGGACTCGCCCGGCCAGCGAGGCCAAGATATCCAACCGACATGGCCTAGCGAGATAGACCGAGCAAACATACGCGCGTACGTCTTCTGGCAGCGCGAACAGCACATGGACAATATCTTGCTTGATTTACATTGGGCTGGACAGCATAACCATGCATTCTTCAATCTTCATACTCGTTTGAGACTTGAGGGCGCACCTGGTGCCTCTCGGCGTGGCCTCATCAATGCTTACATTTTCATCTACCCCGAACGCATACGCCGGCTGTCATTTACTGCCCAACCTCAATACTCGCCATTTGGTTCCGCTACCATTGCTCTTACTTTTCAACTTAGTAGACGACCTGCTCTTGTTCTTCCTGAAGCGTACACCTCTCTAGGACAAGGGGCAGAAGAGGCAATGCGTTCCCTTCGTAGCCTCATCCAACAGTTGAATTTTACTGTTTATGCATCGCTTCCTAGTAGAAGGCTCTCTCCTACCTGGCTGCAGCAGTTTTGCAATGACGTCACGGAGCAAAGGTTCACAACTATTGCATCACTCGCCAACTTGAATACTCTGTACCAAGGCCAGGGTACACAAGTGATTGAGGGAGATGACCTGCTTGAAACTGTTGATAGTCGGGACAATTCTCCTGCTGCCCAAGAACTCCCGGCTTATCAAAAGACAAACCAAAGTATTCCTCTGACACGTTCTGGTAAGCGTCTATACAATGTGTCATGGCTCTTCTAAGACAACCAAGGTGCTAATAGTTCGCCTAGCAAAGAGAAAAAGGTTATGTGATGAGAGCTCTGTGACTAACCATGCTGCCCAACCAACAGACATGACAACCATGCAGGCTCTCCTTGAAAACAGGTTGGAGAGCATGCTTGCTGCCCACGAGCGCAGGCTGGGAGAGATGCTCTCTGCTCACGAGCACAAGGTTAATGAAATGCTATCTGCTCACAGATGTAAAATTGATGTTGAAGAGAAGATAGAGTCTATGGAAGAGCGAGTGAAATGTGATGTTATGGACCAGTTGACGGATGCGATGAATGAAAGAATGCGCGAAGAGTTGGATGGAGTGCAAGAGGGTGTGATGGAGCAAATTGCATCAATGCCGGTGCAGGCTTATTTAACTTTTCCTAACCACCCATACCTTTGAAATGAAGTGGAACATGTCATAAATGGGGGTTTTGATCTGACCGATTTCTCTGCCATGGACCTTGATCTCATGACGAGGGCACTAACAGACGTGAGATGATCTAGGACAAATCGTAATCACGTCTCAAATTCCATGTCCATTACCTTAGTAGTACATGTAGCTGCTGCTACTAGTACACTATACTCAAATCTACTAAATATATCCAACCAAGCCACACCGTACTGATTCTTTATATATACATCTTGGACTGCTAGCCATCTCTATACCGCTGCGATTAGCTCGCTGAAGGGTGAATGGCCACCGCAAGTCGGCGCTATTTTGCAATATAAGCATTGGAGCTAGCTCTGGAGCGAATGGCCTCATGCTCATGGTCGCCTCAGCCCGCACCGGCTTATCGCATCCCAGTGATCCTAACTGCAAGCTACCTAGCCGTTGTTGCGCAGAGGCCTTCAGGGAGCCCGAGCCGGCGATCTCGTTCGGCACAGCGCACGCCTCGGAGGTCACGACACCTCTAAAAATGGCGTTTTGCAAGTTCCGTCATCTCGAGCCGCCCGATGGATTCGCAGCTAAGAGGGCTACCTAGTATCCAAGGAAGCTCGCTCATCTTCTGCCGTTCCACAAGGCACCTACATGTACATGTACTCTCTAGCGTTTCCCCAGCCATTTTGATTTGATTTGATTTGATTTGCCTGGAGACTTAGTACGGAGTAAAAGAGTGCATCTACTAATGTACTATGTACGAGCAGGAGGGAGAAACAAAATGCCCCAATCGGCGGCACTTGTCTGGCATGTGGGAAGCCCACCCTCTTTTTTTTATTCTTTTTACTGGAGATCGACGCCCACGGGAGTCATGCGTCCCATGAGCTGCATCTCCGGTTGGCTCTGGACAGGGACAGGAAGCATGTGGCACGGAGCACATAAAAAGTCGCTGCGTTTATGCGCACATCATCATGTACATGCCGTACGGAGTACATGCGGCATCAATCAATCAGTCAGTCCATCAGTCAATCAATCAATCAATCAGTCAGTCACTCCATCCATCCATCCATCTGCAAATGCAGGGACTTTTTGGTACCACCCCAGAAAATGGCAATCTGCTGCTGATCTCATGATGTCCTTGCATCAACAGCGATAAAGTAGGTACGGGTAGTCCATTCCATGTGCTCGAGCTCGTGCTCGTGCTGGGGAGAGCAGCAGAAAAGACATTGATCAGAAATCCATCCATGCCATCGGCGACTCCATCCCACGCCCCAGACAGAATCCATCCATGCGTTATGCCGTGCGGGTCAGCCAAACTAACGGTCTGGTCTGGATGGGAAACCAGAAATCAGGGAAGCCCCCCGAAAAAACCATCACCGTGACCGATAAATACGGAGTCCGTCCAGACGACTAAGGTAGCACTGCAACACTACCGGAAGGGGTCCTAAGCCAAACTCGACCCAGAAACACATGGCGGAGGCACCACGAGGACAAGCACGTTTGATGTTGTGAGAAAGTCAGTCAGTCGGGTTTGCTTCCTGGCTCCAGTCCGCAGTCTGCACAGACCCTCTCCTCTCCTCTCCTCTCCTCTCCTCTCCTCTGCCATGGATTCGTTTTGTTGCTCGCTCGCTTCTGGCTTCCAGATGCCGGATTCAGCATCTTTGGGGGAGGTTGCTGTACTGGTGCTTGTGCTTGTGCTTGTCACTGGCATCGTGACGTGAAGTGACGGGCAGAGCTGAAGCCCAGCTGATGCCGATCAGATCCAAAGAAGCAGCCCAGCTGGAACGGACACACACAATCAATCAATCCAAATCTAGACTGGACATACATACGGGATTTGATAGCTTCGAGAGCTCCAGCTCCCTTTTTAGCGCGGCTCCCTCTGAGAAATTCACTAACCCTCAACTGTACGAGTGCTGTATAGGCCTAGAGGTACGGAGTAGCAGCTGGGGAAGATTGACACCCCTGCCAAAACAGCCCGCTTGTCTTGTGGGCTTTGCGCTCCCAACCCAGATTAGAAGGACCGCTGCACCTTCGTCCAAGCCCGTCGTGCTCTCGCCATCCGCGATTCTTTGTGCTCGTTGTTCTTTTCCATTTCTTTTTTTCCTTTCCTCTTCTCTCCCCCTTCTTCCTCCTCCTCCTCCTCTCCACTCTGGCTCGCCAAAGCGGGAGCTTGTCGCCTCTTTTGCCTTGTTCCGACCTCCCCTGCAAATCCTCCCCCATGGCGATGGCGCTCCCGGCTGAGTGCTGAGAGACTGACGGGTCTCGCTCCAAGCTGCTGTCTGCTGCTGCACTGATCTACACCCGACAGGCGCTCCGGCTTCCAGCACCATGTCGTCCATAGCGCTCCGTCGCCCTCGACCGGCTCCCCGTCGCGTATCTGCTCGGCACGAGAGCATCTCGCCATCAACCGTCACGCCCCTTCGGCAATTTGCCGTTCATCGAGCCCATGCAACGGCGGACTTTACAGAGGCAGACGAGGACGAAGACGAGGAAGAAGATGAAGACGACGGTCTCGGGAATAACAACAGCAACAACAACAATAGCAACAACAACAGAACGGACCCGGGCCCTCTTGACGATACCGGCGGCAGCAACAACACCCGCCGCCGCCATGGCTATAGCTATGGGACCGACAATGCTGCGGGACGAGATCAGGGGGGTCAAGGAGACGATGGAGACGAAGAACGCCACCGCAGGAGACGCAACACGCTGCCTGTCCTTCCGCTCTTCTCCTCAACGCATCTTGGTATGATACTCACACAATCCTCAGGCTGGCCCTCTGCTTCACGAGCCTTCATGTATCCCCAAGGCCTGCTAGCTGACTTAAACGCCGCTCTTGTTTCCCTCTTTTCTAGACGTCCTCCCGGTTTACAGCTTGACTCACGCAATCCGAATCATCGTCAGCTCCCGCACTGAGACGACGCTTACATGGGACCAGCTACGGTCCCCCCAAGTCTCTCAATTCCTCATCAAGCCCATGCAGCAACAGATTCGCAATCAGCACTTTTCGCGAGCCACGCTCTATGCCCTCATGGCAAACTGTCTGCAGTTCACCAAGGAAGGTCAGATGTATGCCGCCAACGCTGGCACCAGCAACACGAGGGCCAAGGTCTGTGAGCTGCTGTCCCTCAAGCTGCTCAAGGAGTACTCCACCCGCGAACTGATTGATGCGTTGGCCTACGACTTCTATCCTCTCCAAGGTATGCCCGGAGCACGGCCGCCCCCCACGGCCGGCAGCTCTGCCAGCAGGTCCAAAAACACCCCCCTTGTAGCGTCGCGGACGTCGACTCTAGAGGTTGCAATCCGAGCCTCGGCCAAGCATTTCCTCGCCCACCCGGTTGTGGTCCAGCAGCTGGAGGCCATCTGGAATGGTGCCATTTCCTTCTATTCTTCTGCCGATAGCCTGCACCGGGAGTCGTCCTCGAGCCCCTTTTCGCGCTTCAATAGCCAGCCCAAAGTTGATGATAGGACTCCCCTCCTGGGCTCTCTGCCTCCCAAGCAGGGGCAGTCCGCCGTTCCTCCTGGCAGAAGAACTGTGATGTTGTACGACCCCAGGCAGGCATCCCTGCTGAAGCTGTCTCGCCTCAGGGTGCCGCGATATAGATCCTTCCTGTCTACGCTGTCGCTTGCCGTTCTCATTGGGCTCTTCTTGGCCGTCCTATCTAGACGATCCTCGCAAATCACCGGCCTGGAACTGGTCTTTTGGTTCTGGAGCGCTGGCTTCATGCTTGATGAACTCGTGGGCTTCAATGAACAGGGGTTTGCACTGTACATCATGAGCTTTTGGAACATTTTTGACCTGGGTATCCTGGTGCTGCTCATTGCCTATTACTGTATGCGTGTCTATGGTGTCTTCCTCGCCGACCCTCACCATTGGAATGCCATGGCCTACGATGTGCTAGCCGCAAATGCCATCCTGCTGCTGCCTCGCATCTTCAGCATCCTGGACCACTACCAGTACTTTTCTCAGCTGCTTATTGCGTTCCGGCTCATGGCGGCAGACTTGGCGGCCATCTGTGTCTTGATTCTCATTGTGTGTAGCGGATTCTATGTCTTCTTCACTTCCTCCACCGCCTCTAGTGATGGCGGCGAGGTTGCCTACAAGATATTCCAGATCCTCATGGGTTTCACACCCGCCGCGTGGGATGTGTACGACCCCCCTTTCCCTCTAATTCATGCTTTACGCCGGACGATTCTTGAAACTAACATGACCACAGATGGCCATCGTACAACTGGCTTGCGCGAGCGCTGTTGTGCTTGTTCCTCATCATCTGTCATTTCTTGATTGTGTATGTGCTCCAACGAGTCATCACCCTGTGTTGGGTCTCCTTTTTCGAGTTTGCTAACTGTTCAACCCAGGACAATTCTCATTACCGTCCTGACCAACTCCTTCATGGCAATCGCCTCCAATGCCACCGAAGAGCATCAGTATGTGCCGTTCCCATAGTTGTTGTTGATGTCCCCTTGGAAGGTCATTCATCACTAACCCGTTACGTAGATTTCTCTTTGCCATCAACACCATCTCCATGGTGAAAAATGACGCTCTATTCTCTTACATCGCACCCACCAACATCTTCGCATGGCTGCTCATGCCTCTGCGTTACTGCATGCCACTTCGCCACTTCGTCTTGCTCAATCGCATCATCATCAAGGTGACTCACTGTCCCATCTTGTTCTGTATATTCTTGTACGAAAGATTCTGGCTGGCGCCGTCCATTTTTGAGCCCACAGATCTAGTCGAGAATCCCGGAAGGAGTCGGGGCCGGGCCATTTCCTTTGGAGACATGGCCAACAGGACAAGCATTTTCAGTCCTAGCATGCGGGTACGCGAAGAGTCGGTGGCGGGTTATCAAAAAGACAGAGCTCTCGACGAGCTGTTCCTGCGTATGCCTGACGCCACGAGGACACAAAGGAGGCATGAGAGACGAAAGACGCAGATGGTGATTCGAAATTGGATGGATCGTAATGACCAGGACGGAGCCGGCAGCACCAATTGGCCTCCAACGGACAATAGAGCTGTGCCGGATTGGCAGAGAAGGATGAGCATGGGCTGGGATCTTCGTTCCAACTCGAGGCAGCTATCCGACCTTAGGTCCATTGTCAGCGACCCGGCAGACCTTGCATCCAATGTTGGAGGAACCTCATATCGAGCCTTCCCCATGATGGATCCCCGGTTCATGGATCCTCGATTTGCCCATCTGATGCCCGAGTATAAAGATCACACCGATGCCGATGGAGATGACGAACTGGTAACAAACGATGAAGACGAAGACGATCTTGGCACCAGCGCCGATCCCAATGGTCCCCGGGGAGGAAATGCCGCCCCAAGCGAAACTGATGACTACTTTACAACAACTCCCACGGGAGCGCGGTCGGCCGTTATAGCTTCCTCGCATAGCTCGGACGAAAAGGAAAAACCTCCGAGCAAGCCCAGGCGAACCGGAATACACAATCGCACACTGTCTACAAACACGATACTATACAATCCTGGGGAGATGGACCTGCCTCCCGAGAGCTCCGCTTCAGCCTCGCCTCCAAAAGGGCCCGTGCCTGGAAGCCGGGGCGGTCAGGCTGCAGACATGATGGCAGGCGAGTCATTTACGCCTACCGGCATGCGCAGCCCCCCTCGGCGATCGCTCTTCTCTCCGCCGAGCCTCAATACTCGCTCCACCATGCCTCCTCATGGCCTGGCGGGCATGGCCAACTTGAACAGATCCGCCATGTCGGGCATGGATCAGAGAGCTCGAGACCGTGCTGCCCGAAGGCTATCCTCTGCCGATCTCAGCATTCTATCTGACAACACCAATCTCCCCTTTGTTGGAGACATCAATGCTGGCCTGGCGGGTAGTTTCCAGACGCAGATGGCCATGGCTATGATGAAGGACAATCGACTGCGAAGTACAAGTGGAGCCGAGTCGGCGGATCGCGATAGGATGGGAAGGCTGGTTCTCGCTCGCATGAAGACTCTGGAAGAAAGCTTTGCGGATGTTATCAAGGAGATGCGAGACATGAAAAGCTCCACGGCTCCGACGACGAGACGAAATTCCTCTGGCGAGGACCTAAAGATGGGATCTCCCCTTGAAGCAGGAAGATCGGATCGACCAAAGAGCCGCAAGGGGACGGCAACACCGAAAAAGGCGACTAGCAAGAGACCCGGCAGCCGACGGAGCATGAAGGAGAGCAAGCTTGGGTTGACAATGACGGCGGATGTTAAAGGCAAGGGGAAGTACGTTGCCTACTCGACAGAGGAAGAGGGCGAAGGAGCAGGAGACGTCTTTTCTGACAAGAGAAGCTCCTTGTAAAACTCCACCGGCTAAATTTTCTTTGTCTCTTTTTTTCTTTTCTTCTCTTTTCTTTTCCTTTCTCATGGCCCTCTTTTTCTCCAACTCGTTGTCTATAGGAGGATTTCAGGGACTACTAAGAGCATGTACCGGCGTTGGAGGGAAGCGTTTGATGGCTTTTGTGCCCAGTTACGTCTATGAGATTTGAGATATCTATTTGTTTCGGCGGGACGAGGCCTGGAAGCTGAAAAGGGGGGAAGAGGTTGGCTTCGGCTCTGTCAAGATGGGGCTGCAATTGCTGAGAGATGTGTTGGCAAGGTTCCATGTCGGCTCTTTTGTTTTTTTATCTATCACTTTTGCATGAGATGCTCTGTAACATGCGGTTGTAGCTCGATTTTATCATTTTATAGGACGACTGATGTCGGAGATGACTTCATCTATACGAACATCAAAGGAGACAGTACACAGCTGGCTGATCTGTTTTATTTTTAAACTGGTCATAGTTGCAACATTGCCAAATGTATGAGCAAGTGACTCGACAGAGTTGATAAAAGATGGTCGCTGGATCTATGATACAAATGATGATTCCTAAAAGACGATTGCCCCAAGGGCCCCAAAGGCTAGGTGGTCCGCTATTCAAAAACCAAGGATCCCCCGGGACTAACTTCTGAAAATGCTATGAAGGCGAACGTGAACCGCTATTGATGGTACAAAGTGCCTGAAGGTAGTTGGTGGTGGTCTTGAGAAGTTGAAAGATGAGTAGGATATTATACAAGTGGTGGGTGTGTTGCAGATTCAACGTCTGCATTTCCCGCCTTTGTTGAGTTTGGAGTACACGAATGAGTTGATTGATCCTTTAAATATGTGTTCAGACGATATATTAAGGAAGATTCGGATTCCAAGTTCGACAGGTTGGGCAGATGGCTGGTCAAACAAATATCACACGTATGTGAATATTCTTGAGAGGGTATGCTCGGGACTGGGACCTATCAGGCCGTATGCTCGAAAGATGCAGCATTGGTTTTCCAGATCCGTATATGACCCCCAGGTAAAGAGAAAAAAAGAAATAAGAGGCCTCATCCTACTCATCTCCGTCATCTCAAGGGCTGGCTGCATCTGCTCCTCAGTGCCCGAGCAACAGCCTCGCCAAACGGCTCAGGGGCCAGTTTCGACGCCGCAACCGGGTTGTGAATCGTGATCCAGAGCGTGCCCCTGATCTCTTTCTCGCCCCCCACGCCGTTCTGGAAGCCGAGGTCCTCCAGGCTCCGGTATATTGCGCTCTTCAGGCGTCTCTGCGTCAGGGTCCGCACCACCGAGGCAGCTCCGGCACCTGTGATCATGATCCAAAGCGGTTCCTGCTGAGACTTGCGGAGATATTTTGCCCGTCTTGCGGCAGCAAGCGGATGGCCCCGCGGATCAAAGAAGCGCAGATCATACGGATGGATAATGTGCCGCGGACTGAAGGCGATGGTTGCGTGATAGGCCTTGGACACGTTCTGCAGGCCGGGACCCGTGGTGAGTCTGCGTGCGGCGCCGTTGTCGGGCTCGAGGTTGTGCTCGAGGAAGAAGTCCCTGGTCTCGCGGGTCGTCTGGAGCTTGCCGTCGGGCTTGACGAACTTTTTGGCTTCTTCGGGGATGAAGCGCCGGATGGTGTCTCTGAGGATGGGTTTTCGTTGGATGGGGGCGGGTGTTTGGCGGGATTTGGTAGAAGAGAACCGGGTTTGATGATTTAGAGCAAGTGATAGAGGGGAAATTTGAGTGAGTTTCTTGGTGATGAGGTGCCTCAGGGGCAGGGGAAGTTGAGCTGTTGCTGTCATGATGGTGTTGGGGTTTGGGTTGTCATGGAGAAGTTTTTCTTTTTTTCTTCTTCTCACGATTGGTTTTGCTGTTTTATTTGATGCGCTGATCCAAGTTATTCAAATAAACTGCTTGTAATTTCTTTTTATTGATGTTTTGTAGTTTTGAGTCGTCATGTCAAAGTGTTGAGGCACTTGAGCTTGGACAAATCTCACGATGAGCTTCAGCTTCACTTGGGACGTTGTGGAGCTTGAGTGTGATTATGTAACTCAGGTGTGGCGCAAAAAGTGTTGGAGGAAGAGAAAAAAGCCAAGAAAAAATTGCATATCGCCACCAGTTCGGTACCTGTTGTTAGTACCTGGTAGTTCCTGAGTGCCTGAATGGTACTACACGAAAATGTAAATACATGTACTTCGACGCCACTGTGGATTGTATACAGTTGATCAAAGGCTTTTCATAGAGTAGCTGCTAACAAGTGAAGAGAGACAGCTATGATGAATCAAGCCATATCATGTATGTATATATCATGTATTACTATAAGAGCTGTTCTTAAACTTTCTTATTTGATCTAAGTTTTGGCGGATTCTCTCATGCTGGGCGATGAGGAGATACCTATTATTCCATTTTCAGCCACACTTGCTAGAAGTAGATGCATAATCTAGGAACTTCCTGTATATGAACTTTTTGCCGCGGATGTGAGTCAAAGTCTTCCGCTATTACTCAAAGAATGTTATCAATTCGACCAGGGAGTATCTTGAGTAATACAACAAGGCATTCTGTGTCCTGACTTCTCTCCTAGGTACCTCAGCTCTCCAGGGTACTTCTGTCGCCATGAATCATAAATAGCACGGGCGCTGACGGGGTGACTCCCATCACGTGACCCTTGAGTCATCAAGCCGCATGCGTTTCGTCGACTGCGCCCAAATGCTAATATTTCGCCCCTACATAAGAAATCTGAGAGTCGCCGACTTTTTGACCTCCTGCATCTCCCGGTCACCGACACTCCAGATTTCTCGAGCCAACAGTCAAGATGCCCAAGAACAAGGGAAAGGTACGTTTTTCGCGCCTCTTTTCGCAGCGGAAACAGCCACGGGGGACGGGCGAGAGAAATTAATAAATTAATTAATTCCAAAACAACCCCTCCCCCGCCAAGTTTTTGTGTGGTTTTTTTTCCCCTGACGCGGCGATCGGAGAAAAAAAAACCTCCAAAATCCTACCTGATGATTTGGATCCAACGGCTAACGGCTCTGTTTTTTTTTTGCGCATAACAGGGCGGCAAGAACCGCAGAAGAGGAACCAAGGAGAACGATGACCAGCGCCGAGAGCTGACCTTCAAGGAGGACGGCCAGGAGTATGCCCAGGTCGTCAAGATGCTGGGTAACGGCCGACTCGAGGCTATGTGCTTCGACGGCAGCAAGCGTCTCGCCAACGTACGTTTGAACCCCCCTGAAGAGCAACAACACACACAGAGAGAAAAAACAACACATCACATGCATGACGCGGCTTACGTCGCTCCACCACCCTTGCGCACCGAGAAACAATGAGAGAAAAAAAAGGCAAAAAGGCAGAAAAATCGGGCTAACCAATACTTCTCCTCGTCTAGATCCGTGGTAAGATGCGCAAGAAGGTCTGGATCAACCAGGGCGACATCATCCTCCTCTCCCTCCGAGACTTCCAGGACGGCAAGGGCGACGTCATCCTCAAGTACACCAGCGACGAGGCCCGTAATCTCAAGAACCTCGGCGAGCTGCCCGAGAACGCAAAGATCAACGAGACCGACACCTACGGCCAGGACGGCGACGACAACGCCGGCTTCGAGTTCGGCGCTGACGAGTCCGAGTCTGAGGACGACGCCGAGGACAAGAAGGAGCTCGACATTGACGACATTTGAGCGCAGCTCCGAGCCGCCTCCCGGGGAAACAACTTGCGAGGGAAAAGGATCCATCATTATTATTTTTTTCGCCTTTCCTCCTACCTCTTCACATCAATACTCGACAACGCCCCCTTGCCCGTTTTTTTCGCCCCCCCAAATTCTGTGCGCTCTCAGGGAAGAAGCGGGGGTGCGAACCCGACGAAAACAAAGGGGCCAGCCTACGCCCTTGGGGATTTGGCACAGCTGTCTTCTCTCTCAAACCTTTCTGGACGTGGCGTGAGGGAGGGAGCAAGGAAAACTCAAAAGTTTGACCTTGTTCCCTCCTTGCTGCTGCCCGTTGGGTCCCACGACAGTTATCCGGAGTGGAGGATTTTTCGATGGCCGCGGTGGGAGAGACGGCGCGGCTCGTCACAATGGTGTCTTTTTATCTTTTCACACGTTCATGTTTTCCGTCTATACTAGTACTAGGTCTGTTGATACTACATATTTTCTTATGGTTACGACTACTTTTCCTTTATTCACACCCAAAGTAACCTGTGATGAGAAACGATCCTGTCCATATTGTGCGGATATTGCGATGCATGCTTCAAATTCTCTTGTTGTGCAATCTTTGTTGATATTTCCCACTCTCCCACCTCTTCTCCCTAAATCATCGCAACCTTTCCCAACCCTTCAGAATGTGGAAACCTCAAAACGTACTACTTTATGCTAACAAATAAAACTTGAAGCCAATCAATCAATCTATCGAGTAATGACATCAACAGGCCCTCCCTTCCAAACAACTCCAGACTCCCATACGGGCTTGCCTCTCCAAAACACAAGCCCTACTTCTCTGTGTAGCTTGTGACTTTTGACTGTCCCTTATTTTAGCGGTAGCAGCGGCTTGTTAAATTAAATATCGACGCTGACGCTGCCGTGAGTTTCAGGCAGCTTAGTAAATAGCCATCGTGATCCCCTCACATGGCTTAGGAGCAATAGTAGGGAATGTGGGTTTCCCTCTGCTTCGTCTGTTCTTCCAGCCATCATAGGTATCATGTCGCCTGACGCGTGAAGGTCTCTTCTCTTGATACGCCAGGTTTCTTCTTTACCAGTCATCATCTTCCTCTTCATCGTCTATCCGCACAGATGGATTAGTATGCTAGTATTCTTCTCGGCTGGAAAAATAATAATAATAATAGACAAAGCGGAAACTTACCACTCTTGCTGACTTTGTCCTTTCTCTTTTGCAAAGCTGCTGCCAGGGCATTTGCCATGCCGCCACCAGCTGCAGGGCCAGGCGCAGCTCCCCCGCCCGAGCCAGAAGCTCCCCCAACAGTTGCCGCGCTGCGGTCGTTGATCTTGCTTCTGTCGACCTTTTTGAGTGCTCCAATGCCTCCTGCTTTTTGGATATCTCCAAGAAGAGACACACGCCCACCATCCGCCTTGGGAAGAGGCGCCGTAGGTCCTGATGAATATCCAGAATCTCGATCTGGCATTGCCGGAGGCGGAGGCGGAGGGCCACCTGTTGAAGGGAATGGTGGAGGCGGGGGCGGAGGCGGAGGAATACCTGCTGCCGAAGGGAACGGCGGAGGGGGTGGGGGAGGAGGAGCGCTTCCGGCTCCCGGGATTGGCGGGGGACCGGGTGGTGGAGGCGGCGGTGGTGCTGGAGGTGCACTGCCAGCTCCCGGGATCGGGGGAGGGCCAGGCGGAGGTGGAGGTGGATGCGCAGCGCTGGCGACAGGCATGGGAGGAGGTGGTGGAGGTGGTGGAAGAGCGCTGCCAACCCCTGGTGAAGGCAACGGCGGCGGCGGCGGCACCGAGGGAGGCGCGCTGACCGAAGGCAGCGGAGGAGGCAACCTTGGTGATGGCATTGGCGGAGGCAGAGGAGGAGCTGCAATGCTGCTGGCTACCGGCATGGGAGGAGGGGGCGGCGGTACGTGAATGACTGCCGGCGGAGGAGGGACAGGCCGGGCACTCGGGGGCGGTAGTGGAGGAGCGCTCGAAGTTGGCACCTTTGGCGGCAGGGGTGGAGGGAGGGCCACGGGAGCAGGTGCGCCGGCATCACTGCCTCGAGGAGGCGGCGGCGGAGGGACGGGCCCGCGGCTTGGGGGCGCAGGGGCGCGTTGGCCGGCGAATGGAGGCGGGACGTTGAACCTGTGATGCTGGTCTTCGGGCTCGAGAGGCGTCTTGGCGGGTACTCTTGGGGGAGGGGGAGGTCCGGGGACGGACGGAGCAGCAGCAGGCACGGGCTTCTTCCTCTCGACGACTGGATGCGCAAACTTGCCTGCGTCGGGCAAGGGTGGCGGAGCGTTGAATCGCGGCCGAGGAGGAGATGGTGCTCTCGGTGGGCTGGGATCACCGTCAACCTTGCCGCCCGACCGCCGAGGAGCCGGAGGGGGAGGCGGCCCGGCCCTCTTGGCATTGGGCGAACCGGGGATGGCAGAAGCGGCCGCTGGAGCAGACGCAGGCGGAGGAGGGGGCGGCGCCCTCACGGCATGACCGTTGGTCGAAGGCGAAGGCAGCGCGGGAGGAGCAGGAGGAGCGGGCGGCGCGGGAGGCGGCGCTGCTGCTGCTGCTGCCTCTCTGTTCAGCCTGGCTTGTTCTTCTCTGAGGAAGTCGACAATAAACTCCTGGTTGTCCTTGATGAAGTCGTCCGTCAGCCCCTTGTCACTGAGATCGTGGCCGTAATGATCTCGCCACATGGGGTCAAAGGCGTCTAAGAGGGCAAACTCAGAACCGCCTCGGCCATCGTTCAGGCTAACAGAAGAGCCGGAGTTGTGAGAAAAGCCTGATAGGTTGGAGGTTGTAGTATCCGGCATCATGGAGACCGTTGAATGTCGGTGGAAAATGTTTCCCAGCAGACTGTGTTTCTGCCCTCCTCCCGCGGCATGGTTGGATCCGCCAAAAGGCGTTGCTTTCGTGGCTCGGCTGGCATTCTTTTCTCGCTCGTCCATTTTCTTTTTGAACTGCTTGGCCTCTTTTTCGTCGACGAAGCTGAGGGCGGCGAGGCATTCCTCCAATTCAAAGGTGTGGAAGAAGGTTCGGTCTTGGTTGTAGCTCCACGAATCGAAGATTTCCTGGTCCCAGATGACCCCGCGGTTGGAGGGCTGTTTCAATTTGCCAAAGCTGTTAACATGATGATCCTTGCTCTCTCTCTTTCTCTCTCTCTCTCTCTCTCTCTCTCTCTTTGTTCAATCGCTTGCAATCACTTCCCATCCTTTTTTGTGCGGGAAAGACGAATGGTAAACGGGTTTGGGGGAGGCAATTCGAGGGTCATTCATACCGAAATATCCACCATCTTGAGCCAGTAGGTGTTCCCGACCAAGTCGTTGGCCAAGACAACAGCGCCCTGCAGTCCCGAGTAGGTCCATTTCGAGCGATTGGGATATGCAACGTAGAGCTTGGCGACGGCGACGGCCTGGATCTTGTTGGACTGCTTGGGCACGAAGCGCTTGACGGTGTCTTTGTCGTCGTCGTTGAGGATGGAGGGCATGTTGGCGGTGGAGCCGCTGGAGAGCGGTCGCTGGGACGAAGAGAAGCGGCAAGATCAAGGGGCGAAGGACGAGGCGAACGCTGGGAGATGGCCGGGGAAGCAGAGGCAAAAGAGTCCGTCGAGGAGCGACTATTGTAGTGTCGCTTTGGCGGCGTTGGAAAGAGGGGGAGGGCCTAGATGAGATGGTAGCTTGACCGTCTCCTCTTTTCGTCTGGCCGGCCAAGGTTGGCGCCCGCTGTCAAAAAGGCAGCAGCTGAGTTCTTAATTAATGACCGGTGCAAGGCCCAGGCAGGCGTGGGCGATGCCCTCGGGCCGAAAGCGCAAAGGACGATGGCTGCTTCTCACGGGGATCGAGTCGGGCGAGCGTCTCCAGCGGCGGAGGCATCAAGGGAGGCTTTGCGGAGGTTTTGCAGGACAAGAGAGAAAGGGAAGAGGGAGAGGTGAGGTTGAGTGAGCGAATGCGTTTCGGACAAAAGAACCGGAACCCGCAAGGCAATGGAAGGCGGTGGCAGCGGTTCTGGGGGCTCCGCTTCGGGGGGGTTGTGGAATCCGCAGCGGCTGTACAGGCGCTAATTGCGAGGATACGCACGCACTGGCTCCCTGTAATTTAGAGGCCAGTGGGGGGGAAAGAGGGAGCTGGAGGCGCTAGAATCAGCCAGAATAAGGCTGCACGGGCTCCAGCGTTCTTGTATCACTTCGCTGCCGGCCTTATTCGTCATCACGCAGAACAGCACGAGACCAGTTCCTCAGCGCTGACGAACGCATTGATGATTCCAGAACGGGGTCAGAAGCTATGGATCGCACTTGGGGCTGCATGGGCTGTTTTCATAGGAGATGTAATATGGAGGACGCAAGCGCCAAGGCAGACAATATGGGCAAGACACTTGATTTGATGGGATCATGACTCTTGTATGTATGTACACTCTGCCGTTGCGCGGGTACATGTGCCCGAGAGAGACAGCTACAAGTCGCAGAGTTCACGTCATCAAACAATGGAGATTCAAGTCAGATATAAAAAGAAGAAAAGTAAGATTTATTTGAAAACGTATTCGTCGTAATTGCTGGTATCAGGGGTTATTTGTTCAGTTCCTCCTTTCTCGCCTGGCGCTCCTCCTTGGTGCCCTGTTGAGCCGGCATCTGCTGGGAGATGGCTGGGCCGGGGTGAGCCTGATGCGCAGCAAACTTGGGGTCGACGTTGGACTCGTTGATGGGCTGGATAGAGAATTGCTTCTCGCCCTTTGATTGCGTGTCAGTGACGGGGCGTGAAATCACAGGACAGATGGATACGTACCTCCTTCTTCTGCTGGTTGTTGCTGGAATCCATGATGGAGATCTTTGTAGTTGTAGAGAGTATCTTGTGTGTGTAGCGTCGTAAATGCGAAATAGCCTTGTCACGAACAAGCAGAATCATGCACTTTTTCAAAAGGTACAAAATGAGATTGAAAGATCAAAGTTGGCATCAAACCAGGCTCTGCTATATATATGCCCAAAGCGCCTAGCTGAAGCCGGCAAAGCTGCAAGCTTGATCAAGGCGATTGCAATCTGG